TAGCCGTGCGTATATTAGCCTGTGCGATACCGCGCGTAGATACTTGCTATAATTAATTAAACCACTCGCGCTTCAATAAACTCAAGAATCACAGAGATCATAGATAACACATGTGTTTATATGTATCTAGATTTCTAGAAGTGTAACTCAAAATCGTTCGCGCCATAATAATATTATGATAGTTTAATTGTAGCACTTTCTTACCGCCCATAGCTGTGCGTATATATTAGCCTGTGCGATACCACGCGTAGATACTTGCTATAATTAATTAAACCACTCGCGCTTCAATAAACTCAAGAATCACAGAGATCATAGATAACACGTGTTTATATGTATCTAGATTTCTAGAAACGTAACTCAAATCGTTCGCGCCATAATAATATTATGATAGTTTAATTGTACACTTTCTTACCGCCCATAGCCGTGCGTATATTAGCCTATGTGCGATACCGACAACACCCGATAGCGATTATTACCGATTTATTATGCATGCGTGCGTATGTAAACGTGCGTGGATGCGTGCGTGCGTGTGCACGTACACGTGCGTGCATGAGTGTGTGCGTGCGTGTGCAAGTACACGTGTGTATAGCTAGCTCGCTCCGGCCGTATATATATAATACGTAATAATACCGTATACCGTAATACACGTATATATTCGATTACACTGATATGGCATATATATGATATGGCTATTCGAACAAAACAACAATTCGGCTTTGGCATTGAATCGTCATGCTAGAAATGCATGATATTTCCTCACCGCTGCGATCGGTATAGGTATATGCTGCCGGAGGAAAAAGGTATTTTTTAAACAGCTGCAGAGATTAAACCTCAATCCTGTAAACGTGTTCTCCAACGTATTGAAAAAGTGCTTTAAAAATATTATTCCGGGGTAGTAGGAGTCCGGACCCCCCTTTAATTTCAAAGTGCCTTAAAATATTTCATCCCAATTTTTTTAAGGCTAGTTTTTCTGATAAAGAAGAGATGGGGAAGAAAGACGCGAAAGGGGAGAGGGAAAAGGAGGAGCGGGGAAACTGGAAACAGAAGAATAGAAAAACAAGGAGGGGTAGTAAGAAAAAGAATTAAAGAGAGGAGAGATGGGAGGAAAAGGACAAAGAGAGAGAGAGAGAGAGAGAGAGAGAGAGAGAGAGAGAGAGTGTGTGTGTGTGTGTGTGTGTGTGTGCGTGAGGAAGAGAGCGCGAGAAAGAGAACAGTGAGTGAGTGAGTGTGTGTGTGTGTGTGTGTGTGTGTGTGTGTGTGTGTGTGTGTGTGTTTGTGTGAGTGAGAGAGAGTTAGAGAGATGAAGTGAGAAAGAGAGACAGAGAGAGCGAAATAAAACGCGGGGGGAGAGAGAAAGAAAGAAGGAGGGGCACAGGTTATGTGGGGAGTCGCGTGTACTAGATATTGCAGAAAGAAACCGGCGTGTGTGCGTGCATGCCTGGGAGCGTGTATATGCGTGCGTGTGAGTGCCTGCGTAGGCCTGAGTGCGTTCACGCATGTCTATGTGCGTGCGTGTGCGCGCGTTCGTCTGTGTGACTGTGTGTGTGTGCGGGTGTTGGAGAGATGTATGGGGCATGGTCGGGTAGTCGTGTTTTGTCACCGGCCAGCTGCCACTGCAAATGCTGACTCGGCGGTAACCCCTGGCAACTTGTCGCCTGCTCTCTCGCAAAATGGCCAATCGTTGGTTACCTCGACTCCAGTATAACGATGAAGTCACGGTGATGATATTTCGCACGGCGGTGGGTTGTGAGGATGGAAAGGGGGAGAGGAGAGCGGGAGGAGGAGGTGGGGGTCGCGTTCATAATTTAATGAGTTACAACAAACTGACATAAAGCTATGTACATATCTTCGGTAAGACTCGGCAAACAGGAGTAATAGAGCATTAATCGATCAGTGGATATATCCGAGGTAGCGGCGGCGGCCCTACAGCGAGAGAGCGGCTGAAACACACCCATGCACGCACACGCGTACACCCACGCACACACACACACACACACACATACACACACACACACACACACACACACACACACACACACACATCACTTAAGAAATACTAATCGCCCGGCTTGCTATTGCATGGTGATAGCTCTAATCCTATTGTAACATAAGAACATGTGTCTATCAACCACACGTACACACGCTCACACCCACACACGCACAAACGCGTACACACACGCGCGCACACGCACACG